TTTTTTTTTTTTTTTTTTTTGCTTATTTTTATGAGACAATTATCAAATAATTGATATATGCGGACAGAATATGAGAATTGTCAAATGCTGGATGACTGACTGCCTTTGACCGGCCTAGGATTCCTTGGACAGTATCACAGCTGCATACAACAAAACAATACATGAAAGGGTCATTGTCAGTGACACTGTTGTCGACGAACTGTTTCGAATATATAATGCAAACATTTTTGGGCTCAGAAATGTTGATGAATTTGCTACCTTTTGTAAAACCGGTTTAAAACGTAGATATTTTTTAGCTTTAACACTCGTTGTGGTCTCTCTGTGGTTGTGACTTGAAAAATTAAAATTTTTTTCAATTGCACTGTTGTTGTTGTCAATAACTGTGTCATCGTTAGTGATCGTAGTTGCCATAGCGGTAGTGGTAATAGTTTGATGATGCGGTTTAAAACATTGACATTTTTTTGTGGTATGCCAATCACAGAATCCCATTTCATAAGTATCCAGCAATTCCCGTCTGGAAAGTGGAAAATCTTTATGCGACAGGCAACGTATCTGCAAAAAATAAAAGAAAAACAGAAATAAAATCAAAAAACAAAATAAAAAAAGAAAAATAGAGTAAAAAACGAACTCTGCTTATGTTTTGATTAATAGACAATTCAAATATGTAGTTTAATCAGATTACTTTAAACGGAAATGATGTTATGAGGAATTATTTGTTGCAACATTTGAAGGAATAGATGGAAAAGTTTGGTAATTAATTCAGCACAGAAATCTTGCAGTATCCAGAAATGTAACCCAGCTCATCCCACTCATGTTAAACAGCGCCAAAATTCTCAACAAGGTTCTTATATAAGTAACTTGCTGACTAACATGATTGTCTACACGTTCCGAGTAATATTCATTGATGGTTAAACAGTATAGCAGTTCACCCGGCGTTTGTTCAGCACATTCCTCGATGTTCTCATTACATTTTACCGTCAATGTTCGAACATCAATGCAATATTTCGTATACTAAAAATAACAATAAAATAAAACAAAAAACAAGAGAAGAAAACAAAAAGTGATATTTCAAGTTTTAAATTGTTTTTTACTGTTTATCAATAAATAACAAATAAATTGTTAAGCAAGAAGGAAAAAGATTATTTAGTTGGAAGAATTGAGAAGAGAAAGCGGTAAATATTGTATTATTTAACTGTTTATTCAATAGGTTTGTGAGAAGAAATCTAAAGAAAAAAATTTTTTCCTTATGAAAAAAAGCTGAAAATAAAAAGTGTAAAAAAACAGTAATTTATTTATTCATTTATATATCATTTTTTGTCTTGGCTTTTTTCTTTGTATAAGTACCATAACGTCGTCGAGACGACTTAAATGTACCGCAGCGGCCAACAGACATAGCACCGAGCATTCCATCCTGGGATATCCCACAACTGTTTGTTCCGTCTAACTCCTTTATGATAATAATTGCTTCTTCAGCAGAATTATTTTGATATACAGAAAAAAAATGTAGAAAAAAAAAACGAAAAAAAAAGAAGAAAAAAAAAGCAAAGGTGAAGAAGACCTGACAAATAAAACTCTGACTTCTGCTACTTAACAGCGATAAAGCACAAAAAAAAAAACTGAACGAAGCATTTAATGACTTCTATCCAAATAACAACAAAAAAAAAAATCTTTGCTAGATTTTCGTAATTACATTTTAACGTCTGCTTTTATATGCAACTAAACCGAATATACCATTTTAAACGATGTTATAGACTGTATACCTTTCAATAAAAAAAAAAGGAAGATTCTTTTTAAACAGCTTTTTTTCTTTTCCTCGTTTTCATTCTTTATCAACAGTTATTACTGTTAGTTAAAAAAAAACCTTTTTTTTTTCGTACATTCCTTTCTTTTTTTTCTTTGACGTACAAAAACTGTTTAGGATAAATGCACTAAAAAATAGTTTTGCAACACAGATGCAAAACAAAGTTCAATTTATAATTGTCATTGGCTGTTCTCAGTGTTTATATCCCAATTTCCAGTTGCCTACAACTTTCCATAAAGTCAAAAACACTGCTTTTCTTTTCTGCCCTGTTTTGGTGGTGAAATTCCTCCATCTCTCCAGATCAACTTTTATTTCCTGTTTCTTCTCTTTTGAATTTTTTGTTCTGTGAGAAAACAGACAAAATGAAGTTACAAAAGCGACTACCCGCAGATGAAATTCCTCAATGCCGCTGCATAATCTGCTGCATCTGTATCATCAAGTACCAACCCGTTGAAGATAAACTTTTAAGAGCTGTTTAAGGCGCTTCTTGGCTTTAGAAGCTTTTTATTTCGCAACGAGCACAAAAGTTTGCATATTTCTTCAAAGAACATTGCATAATTGAACGATCTAAAATTACCACTGCTAATAGTTTTGTAAAATTTCAAGATCCTGAGTAGCTAGTAATTGAATAACGCTGTAACCAAAAGTTATTTCTGCAGTAGCATTCAGAAGAATTCTGTCAAAGAAAGGACAATTTTTCAATTTAAGAAAATGAAAAGATCAGATGTAAAAAAAAATCATCAAATTTTTACTTAAATTTTTCTTAAAAGAATATATAAAAGAATAAACAACATATAGAAGCTTTCTGTATTCAAAACTCACTAAGAAGTATCAGACCGAAAAGCCAAAAATTTTGTTATTCTTCTACAAATTTTTGACGTTTGATGATTGCTGTCAAAAATGCAGAGCACCAAAGTATAAATAAAAATTTGAGACTTCTTTTCAGTTGTGCTAACGTCTCTCTTTTTTTTTTTTTTCAGTAAGTTTTATGTTCAAAAATCAGTCCAGACTATTAGTGTCAGCAAAGTAGTATAACTCTAATCTTAATTTACACATACAATTTTGAAAATTTCAAGGTTGATTGGTTTTTAAAATGCCGGTACCGTTTTCTCTTTTTTTTTTTTTCTAATAAAGCAATATAAACAAATCGAACAAAAACATACTTAAAATAAATTAGACGATTGTTACAGTCTGATTTTTAAATCATATATAATTCTTTCATTAGCAGATTTAGTAATAAATAAAATTTACTATGCAACATTAGGCAGGGGAAAAATCTTTGGATTTATTGGGGAAAGACCGGAAAAGGGACAGGCGAGGAAGAAAAAAATAAAGCAAATTCCTTTTTTCTTCTGATTTCTGCCTCAACCCTTTTTTTTTTTTGAGGGGGGAGGGGAGAGAAGAGAAGGCAACGAGGGAAAAGTGCTGCGGAAAGGGGGAGAAAATAGTGTAACAGATAGGAAGTTCTTTTTTTTTTACCAAATAGCTTTGTCTTTCTTAAGCAAAAATTGCCAGATGCCTTCTTACAAGAAGTGGTTTAGAAAGTGTATCGAAATATGAAAAAAAAAAAGGAGGAACGGCTAAACAGCACAAAAAAAAGACTGCGACTGCTTTTGTAAACGTTGCGAACAAAAAAAAAGTGGCAAAATAAAAACACTTAAGAGAAGATGAAAAAAATTTGGAACAGCTAAACAATCCAAACAACAATTCTTTTCGTTTTTTTTTTTCCATCATTAGCTTTTTCTTTTTCATTTACATCAACAAAAAAAGATTTTTTTTTAACTTTTGATCTTTTGAAGCAAACAAAAACGTTTGCTGAGCCAAACACAACTATTCCTCCTTTTTCTCCCCCCCCCCCCCCCCCCCCCCCCCC